TTGGCCAAACAAAAGCCCATTTAACTCCCTTTAAATCTAACTTATTCAGGGCTTAACAAAAGCCCATTTCACACCCAACCCTACAGTCATCTCCTTCTTCTACGCCTTCTCTGTCTTCTGCAGAATTTATGTCTTCTCCATCTTCTGCAGAATTTCTGCTGCCAACCTACAGTCTTCTCCGCTTTCTTCTCCTTTATTCCGGTAATGTCCTCCATCAATTTCTGCAAAATACTACCACAAGACTTGAAATAAATAGGTCTTCTCACGCCGTCCACTGTTCTCCACGCAGTCCACTATGCTGCCGTGTCGGGGTGCACGACCAAGTATCCGACCCATATCCCGTGTCAGTATCCGTGTCATGTCGTGTCGACACGAATACTTCTCCATTTTTGGAGAGTCCGAGCAACATAGCTTAAAAGGATTCTTCATTGGCCCTAATAGATTTCTCACAGGTCCACAGAGCGTTGCGGAAATCATTTTCACTACATTTGTTTACTTTTATGAGGTAAAGTCTAGGGCACCTCCATTACTATAAGAATACTTCCAGAAAATAAAAAGATAGTTATGTTGATTGGATAATAGTCTTGGATNTCCATTACTATAAGAATACTTCCAGAAAATAAAAAGATAGTTATGTTGATTGGATAATAGTCTTGGATGTCTGAATGTGATTCCCCATGCACATTGTCAACTTTAAGCGCTATACAGCCTAGGCTAGTGATAACCACTTATCTAACCTGAATGGCTTTATACACCCAAAGAAGGTAAAACATACAAAAGAATGGATCTTTCAAGGAGATTAATTCCATAACTGGTAACTGCATTACTCAACAGTCAAAAGAGTTGATTGGTACGCAATAGTTGAAAAACCTACATGTAATTTATTTAGGGGGTGTTTGTTTGGGATTTTTGGGGGAAGAATTGATTTTTGAATAGTAATATGATGGGAAATGTGCGGTTGAAAATGAAGAAAAAATTATTGATGTGATGGAAAATATTATTTTATTGAAGAATGTGTGGTTGAAAATTAGAATTGATTTATTGTAAAATTTGAGAATCCCAAACAAACAAGCTCTTAATCAAGAGAATTCGATCACATTGGATTTGTTATCCATAACACTATACTGTGAATCTACACCATGGTATTCTCCAGTCTTCAATCAACAATAGGCAAGAAAAATAACATCAAGATAACAGGTCTACAGGGTCTCAAGGCAGCCAGGCTTCCCTAGCTGAAGCTGGTATTTCCTGCGCATTTCAGCATCTTGCTTGAACATCTCCCCCTTGTATAATAAACCCGCGCTTCATGAACCAGCCTGGGCTTTCAACTATTACCACGAAAACCAGAATAGGCAACAAATAATGTCACCTTAATTCTTGTGTTGAGATGTCAACCAAGTGGAGACAATGCGATGCAGTTCAGTTACGTGATTTCCGGAACGAAACTAAGTTTCCAAACAATGCTTAAAGTTTAATGCAGAGACAAACCCACTTGATTAAGTGGTTGAACACCCTTGTGGCAAATAAATCGGGGATGGCTCAACGCTTAAGCGAGCAAGGCAGTTGCTTCAGGCCTTTAAATTTTGAAAACTTAAAAATATGGTTAATTTTTCTATTCTTTGAAAACCCCCTTGCCTAAATACTTGAACAGCCTGGGAGTAAATTGAACCCACAGTTAGGGCAAGAGCATCGTTCTAGTGATAAAATCACTGTAGGTGCATAATTAAAAACTGTAGTAATAACTTGTAATATTCAACAAATATGTAATTTTTATGTCAATAAAAAAGAAGATATTTCCATTAACCACCATAAACCCTAGCCATGAAATTAGAAATCAATTCCATATAACTAAGATTACAACGAACAGTTCCAAATTTTCGTAAGTGTAAAAGAATTAAGAACATATAACAAAAAATAAGAGTAAAAAATACCAATTTTTTCCATGAAGCAGGTGCAGGGAGCTCCACCAACACGACCTCACCGCTCTGAGCCTCGGCCATTCTTATTACCTGCAAATCAACAACAAAATCACCTGTCAAAAGTACAACAACACGAAGAACAACGTTCAACAAACTCCAGCAAACAAATCATCTGAGAATTCTCCTTCTTTACCTCTAAAGAAATCAAACCTTTTGACTTGAAAGGTGTTAGAATCCTGTGAGATGGATTTAACCGTCGAAGCTGTTTTTATTTTCCACAAGCATCGTAGTTAGTACACGTGGCAATGCAGCAGACTGGGATTTTTTTTTTTTTGAGCTTTATGTCACTGCGGCTATATTTTTCAGCTAGATCGGGCGCGACTTTGAAGACCACGCTCTGAGTAGGAACGTGCAGGAAACGGGGACTTTTGGTACGTTCAGTTATGTGTGTGAGATTAACGGAAATGTTGAAGTGGGGTTTGGATAACGTGCCCAAAATGTTTCTATTAACTGAATTGGGATGAGAGGTTCTGAGTCCGAAAGAGCCGTCAAGTATATTGAAAGTCAAACTTATATCTGACAATATTTCACCTACGCTGGGCCGCCGCTTAATGGATCAACTTTGGACAATGATAGGTCATGACTATAGGCGTCAATGGACTGGCCCAAGGCAATGTGGGCTAGCTTTGAGAGTATTACAAAGAAGGGAAGATTACCTATTCAAGAAAATAAGTTTAGCATATTTCAAAAATAAGAAAACACGTTTGAAATTTTCAAAATCAGATTTTTATTAAAACAGTTTAAATTTTTATTTATGAAATAATAAATTATTAAATTAATTTATTAGTAAATNATATAATTAACTCATCCCACATTCACCACCCCTATCGCTCCGGCGACCGTTTTAATCACCGCCCTACTCCGACGAACTTTCCGACGACCTTTCCAGCGACCTTTCTGGAGTCAATTTTTCCGGCGACTAATCTATATTTTTTTGTACATTTAACATGTTTTTTTTACGGTCACAAGTCACAACTCAGGTCACAAGTTAAGAGTCACAGCCCATGTCACAAGTCCTAGCTCAGGTCACAAGTCATAAGTCAAGAGTCACAGTTCAGATCACAAGTCACAAATTAAATCACAGGCCAAGTCACAAGTCATAAATCAAGTCACAGGCCGGGTCACAAGTTACAACGCATATTTTCGAATTTTGGAAATTGATTGAACCCCGTTTTGGATCAGGGTTCTGGTCAGACACACGCCCTCCTTGCCGGAGATATCCTAGATATTAAGCACTGGAAGGACTGCCGGAGTCTGGTCCCTACCTGCCGATGGAACCCTTCCTGCCCAACGACCACAACAAGCATTCCGGCAGCTCGACAGCACGCCCCCCTCAGGCAACCACAACCCGAAAACCACATGAAGTGAGACCACATTAGCCACCCGTCAAGGCAGAGCTGGAGAACCCCACCCCAACACCAACCGGACAACACACCACCACCCAAACACTACCAACCCAAACACCACCCAAACCACTCTAGCTCGCCTAAAAAAGACATACTGAAGAAAAACGAAAAACAGAGGGGAAAGAAAGATGAGGGGGGGAGAGGAAGCCTCGGTGGTGAAGAGTAATGAAGAGATTTCTGCTTCTTTAGATCTGTATTATGTTTCTTCAAATATGCACGAGAGATTCTCTTCCGGTGGTGACGCCGCTGCGCCAGAGCTTTTCCAGGGGGGCGGCGCTACTACTGAGAGAGAAGAAGGGAGTAGATTTGAGAGACGGATAGAGAGGGAGGAGAGGAAGGAGAATTACACCGATCGCGGCGTTGGATTCACCGCCTGTCGCCGGTGACGCTCCTCTGATGAAGCGCCTTTTCATCTTCTCCCGTCGGGATTGGTAGACAGTGAATGAGAGGAGAGACAGAAGGGAGGGGTAGAGAGAGAAATGAAATGAATTTTGTTTTGGAAATGAATTAGGGTAGTAAAAATATTAATTAAAATAAAAAATCTGATTTTGAAAATATTAAACTTCCAATCTGATTTTAGAAGATTTAATACTTAAAGTATGATTTTGTATAATTACCACTTCAAAGAATGAATAGCAGAAAACCTCCTCAAAATGTTTCAATTTGCGATGTATTATTTACCTATTGAAAATAGCAGAAAATCCCCATATTTGAAAAACATTTTGTGCGAAAACCCCCATAGTCAAAATTTATCATTAAATACAGTAAAAATGTCAAAATAAAAAAGTAATAATTACAATTTTTGTGTCCAAACTTTTTATTCATTTACAAATTATACTCAATTTTATTTAAGCTCCACCTACAATCCCAAACATTTAAACTTCCAACTCACCCAATTCATCTTCTTTCCCAAAATCTTAATATTTTATTTAATTCCTTTCAAAATCTTGCTAAATCTCTCATCCCAGATTCATCATTTATTTTTCTCATTCCAAATAGGGGTTTTTGGGGTGTGCGATTTAGGAGCTGAGAAAAGTGATTTTGACTACCAATTTGAAATTTCTTACAAAGATATTATTTAGTCTGAGTTTTTTTTATTTTTTCTACTTGTATGTACACTTGACATAGGAATAATTATAATGTATATCTTTTTCTATCTTTCTTTTCAGTTCATTTTACAGGGGTTTAGTTAAAGTTTAATCTAGAAATCAATTGGTGACGGTCAGTATTCTTTTTCCCACCACCTTTGGGTATGCGTTCATCCACTCTGTATATGTTCTAAATATATTTTAATTTCACTAGAAAATAGTTAAATTGCACTTATTTGAGCATATATGAATATTGTCTCTATTAAATTTTGTATGTGTGTATATTGATTGTGGTTTTTTATTGTTAATGAGAAGAAGAAATGATGAATTTGGGATCAGAGATTTTGGAGGATTTTGGAAGTGATTAAATTAAATAATAAAGTTTTGGTGAGGAAAATAAAATGGGGGTGAGATAAAATATAAAGTTTTAAAAGTTTAGGATTGTGGGTAGTACATAAAAAAATATTGGGTATAATGTGTAATATAATAAAATATTTAGATACTAAAATTGCAATTATTACTTTTAAATTTTGATATTTTTATTGTTAAAACGGTAAATCAGATGGTGGGGATGGGTTTTTTTGCACTAAGTATTTCAAATAGGTGGGTTTTTTGCGATTCCCAATATGTATGGAATATATCACAAATGAAAACGTTTTTAAGAGGAATTTCTGCTATTAATCCGTATTTCTATCGTGTATCCTAAAAGTTGAACACGAGATATCTATTTTAGTAGATATTCAAGTTGAATCTTGAATGATTCAAATATTCGTGTCTAAACTGTTATATCATTCGTATTGTTCGTTTTGAAAGATCAATTGATATCATAGTCAACTTAAATATCTCAGAAGGTATATATCTTGGATTCAAATTTTAAAATATGCAAGAAAAATGCTTGAGGGATTAAGATACGCATATGCTTTCCAAAGCGGATGGTAAGTAAAATAACGATTTGAGCACAAGTTCTGAATGCTCTTAATACAAGAATGGTTTTCTTGTATTTCTAAAAGGAGTATTAATTAAAAATAAATCAAATGGGAAAGAAATTAAGTAATTCGGTTTTGAGTTAAGAATAATTTTTTTCCCTTACTAGGTGAAATTAGAGCATTGTATTGGTTCTTCAAATTAGATTTAAATATTTAAAGTGATCGAAAATTTCTTCAATAAAAAGATGCAAGTAAAATATAAATTGCATTTTTGGTAGGAAAAAAAAAAAGAAGAAGATAAATTTACATCTCTTTTAGATTCATAAGAGGTGAAAAATTATCAACCCACTTGCACTCAATTTTTAAAAATCTTTCCATTGGAACGGAAAGATTTAGATTCATCAAAATGTAAATAAAAATGCCAAAGTAATTTTAAAATTGTCAATTTACACTCATTTTATACCATTGTTGAAGAAGTTCTTAGTACAGATATCATGATGTTTGGTTTAAAACAAGTTTTCAAAACGTAAATTTAGTTTGGATTGGAGTTTCTTTCGAGTTAGCAAAGTCAAAAATAGCAGCAGACCTCAATCAAATCAGATCAAGGGTCTTGTCAGTTTTCAATAGTTTCTTGATTGACAATATGTTCTGCTCCCAGTCAGTGTATGGTCGACCTACAACTTTTAACTGTGTGTACCTGTTTGCCCCAACTCTTTCAAAATTTATTTACAACCCCGCATTCTTTAATAAAATAACATTTTTCATCACATCAATAATTTTTTCTTACTTTTTAACCATATGTTTCACATTATATCACTAATTAAAATACATTTTTTCAATAATATCCATCAAATACTCCCAACTTGAATATTATTTCAAATATTTGATGCATTCAGAAAGGAAATATTGCATCCTAAGCCCTCAATATAACCTCCGTTTGGGCATCCTTATTTTATCATTAAAATAAAATAATATCAATATCCATCACATCAACATTTAAATTCAAATTTTTTATCTTTTGTGTGGACACCAATAACTATATTTTTCATTCTCATTCTACAATAAAATGGTTCAAACAGGGACAAGGTGTCAAATCGTGTAAGTCTTCAACCTTTTTGCGCACAATTAGGACCTGTTTGGTACAGATTCTCATTTTCTACAGTAAATCAATTCTCATTTTCAATAACTCATTCTTCAATTAAATAATATTTTCCATCACATCAATACTTTTTTCTTCTTTTTCAACCACACATTTCCCATCATATCACTATTCAAAAATCAATTCTTCCCCCAAAAATCCCTACCAAACACACTCTAAATGATTTTGAGTATTAATTAAAAATAAATCAAACGGGAAAGAAATTAAGTAATTCGGTTTTGAGTTAAGAATAATTTTTTTCCCTTACTAGGTGAAATTAGAGCATTGTATTGGTTCTTCAAATTAGATTTAAATATTTAAAGCGATCGAAAATCTCTTCAATAAAAAGATGCAAGTAAAATATAAATTGCATTTTTCGTAGAAAAAAAAAAAGAAGATAAATTTACATCTCTTTTAGATTCATAAGAGGTAAAAAATTATCAACACACTTGCACTCAATTTTTAAAAATCTTTCCATTGGAACGGAAAGATTTAGAGCCTGTTTGGTAAAAATTTTCATTTTCTACAGTAAATCAATTCTCATTTTCAACCACACATTCTTCAATAAAATAATATTTTCCATCACATCAATACTTTTTTCTTCTTTTGCAACCACACATTTCCCATCATATCACTATTCAAAAATCAATTTTTCCCCCAAAAATCACTACTAAACACACTCTTAGATTCATCAAAATGTAAATAAAAATGCCAAAGTAATTTTAAAATTGTCAATTTACACTCTTTTTATGCCATTGTTGAAGAAGTTCTTAGTACAGATATCATGATGTTTGGTTTAAAACAAGTTTTTAAAACGTAAATTTAGTTTGGATTGGAGGTTCTTTCGAGTTAGCAAAGTCAAAAATAGCAGCAGACCTCAATCAAATCAGATCAAGGGTCTTGTCAGTTTTCAATAGTTTCTTGATTGACAATATGTTCTGCTCCCAGTCAGTGTATGGTCTACCTACAACTTTTAACTGTGTGTACCTGTTTGACCCCATACTTTCAAAATTTATTTATAACCACGCATTTTTTAATAAAATAACATTTTTCATCATATCAATAATTTTTTTTACTTTTTAATCACATATTTCACATTATATCACTAATTAAAGTACATTTTTTTTCAATAATATCCATCAAATACTCCCAACTTGAATATTATTTCAAATATTGGATGCATTCAGAAAGGAAATATTGCATCCTAAGCCCTCAATATAACCTCCGTTTGGGCAACCTTATTTTCTCATTAAAATAAAATAATATCAATATCCATCACATCAACATTTAAATTCAAATTTTTTATCTTTTGTGTGGGCACGAATAACTATATTTTTTATTCTCATTTTACAATAAAGTGGTTCAAACAGGGACAAGGTGTCAAATCGTGCAAGTCTTCAACCTTTTTGCGCACAATTTTAGTTATCAATGACCAAAATAGTATCTTCATCAAATTGTCTAGTAGTCCACATGATAACATGTCCAATTTCAAATCATTAAATACAAACTCAAGTTAAATTACGGAATCGCGTAAGGGTAGGAAACATGCTAAACGGCTCGTGGGCTCAATTCAATCCGTAGACGATTAAGGCTCATTTTGAAACGAGTTACAGGCTAAACCAAACTCACAATTTTTTTTCACAAGCCAATCTTGACTCAACCTATTGCTAAACCAGCAACCCTAGAATCACACTTAGTAAAGTCAACTTCAATGTGTTTGAAAATGATTATTAACACAAAACGTTCATACGTTTGAAATTTATTGTGCAAACTGTTCATATATTTCATTTTTTTTGTATTTTCACTCATATTTACATCTTTCATTGTAGAAATCATCAGTTTCATCCATTTCTATTCAATTTCTTAATAAAAATTGTAAAATGACAAATGTACTCTCATACTTAAATAAAAAATTAATTGCAACCATACTTCCAAAATTATATTTAAAAAAAACTGCAAACGAATCCCAAATAAATTATTTAAAAAATAGGGGAAAAAAATCTCCCACTCCACCACCAACACAAAAAATATGTTCAAATAATTATGTACCCCAAATTCTGATTCTGTTCACATCATTTTCTGCAAAAATTGGGCAAGCAAGAAATGGGACTGCAAATGGGCTATGCGAAAATTGGCATTTTTCCCTTCACAAAACCATTCAAAAATTCTTAATTTGGGTTAGTTGTGTTGACTCCAAAAAATGAGCTCAACAGTATCACCGCCACATCCCTCCAAGTGGACATTGCCTGCACATTGAACACCCCGTTAGGAGGCAAGGGCCGTCGTTCAAGAAAAAATTTGATGATCGTTCGCACTCCGACGGTCAATTCAACTGTCGAATGAGGAACATATGCAAGAGAGNATATATATAAATGGACATGTAAACGGGCCATATGGTTTATGGGCCTTGCCCAAGCCCAAAACCGAAGCTCTGAGACTCTCAATCGAGGCTCTATATAAGTGGATGAGACCCTTTAGCGGAGACTCCTTGTAAGTGAATGAGATCCTTTAGCCGATGCTCTTGTAAGTGGATGAGGCCTTTCAGCCGAGGCTCTTTGTAAATGGATGGGGCCTTTCAGCCGAGACTCTTTAATAAGTGGTTGAGGCCCTTCAGCCGAGACTCTTTCTAGGTGGTTGAGGCCCTTCTGTCGAGGCTCTTTATAGGTAGACGAGGTCCTTCAGCTAAGACTCTTTATAGGTGGATGAGACCCTTTAGTTGAGGCTCTTGTAACGATGACCTTCAATCCAAGGCTCTTTTAGACTGAAACTCATGATGTCTTTTTAGAGGACCATCTAAGTCAAACAATCCACGTAATTTACGGGAGTAACAAGTTGTATACTCCAAGTCCAACTGCTATGGCTTCAAGGTCCTTACAGGGATGCAAATAAGTGAATTCTTACGATTGTCTGACACAAGCCACAAACCAACTAAAGCAGCATGCGATTTTACCACCGTCCATATCAAGAAGGTTTACAGGATTGATTTCTTTGCTGTCTTTATGCCTCACAGCACTGCCCCAACCATCATTGGCCATAGAGAGGCGCAGAAAAAACACCATTCCAATTGAAGAATATCTCACTAGCCGTGAGTTCGTTTGAGAATTTTTCCATTTTGTTAACGATGTCTATTCTTTATTAGTTCAAGATTATGCTTTTGTTTTGGGGGACTTCCGCCGTTTAGGATCTTGAATTTATGTTTTTATCCTGCAAAGGAAATTTGTATGGCAATGGATTGTTGAAGCCCATGCAAACTTCTTAGGGTTCTGCTACTTGTACGGATTGACACCCCGGGGTCTAGACCCTCTCACGTGGAGTCCACGCCTTTTTTTATAGGGTGTGAGCACTCCATGAAAACGATGATTTCAGTCATCAAAGGTGAAAATATGGGTAAAATGTATGGACGTTTTGCACTACGAGCTTCAAATATAGGGACGCTTTGTGCCCAAAGAGCTGCTACACTGCCATAAATTTTTTGACATGCAGACTGATAGAATACTCACATTATGGGGAGGGCCCCACAATTTTTTGAAAATTTTTTATTACAATGGATCCCATGACAATGTGAGTATCTGTCAAAAACTCAAAACTCATGTCAATATTTTTCTGGCACACCATCTTTATTCTTGTGCTAATATCCCTATGTGAAAAACCATCTTGAACATTCAAAGATGTGTTGTAAATTATCAAAGTGACCTCTCCATGTTTGCTTCCATTTATGACATTCTGACCATACTCATTTTGATAAAAGTTAAAAGAGATGTCCTTTCACAATTGAAACTCCTTCTCTCCAAAAAAATACATAAAGAAAACAGCAAATAAATACGGCAAGAAATGCCATGAATAAAACCGGTCCAAGCTATTGACAATATATTACGTTAAATTACATTGTACATTAATGTTCTTTTCTCACATATTAGTAACTTCACTCCAGAAACCAATAATATTAAGCGATTTTTAATAAATCTTTGAGCTTAATTTGTTGTCATAATGGATTATTTTCATGGTTGATACAGCTTATTTCCGCACCTGCATTTCCATGAGAGAAGATAGTAAGTGTCATCTTCTCTACGAGACAATTTTCCAAACACCCTTTTCCGGTGGGGAGGGATAACTAGTGTGGCTTCACAAGGCCTGCAATTCATGCATTTGTTCACGCAACCAGGCGGCCTTGATCCCAGCACCATTTTCCTTAGCTCCTCAGTGGCACTGTAGCTAGATGGCCCTATCCCAACTGACAATCATCAAAAAATACGCGTTAGGGATGATAGAGATAAGAGTATAGTACGACTGAGCTTTTTACCATCTAAATCTCCCTGTAATTAGGATTCAGGCACAGTCGAGAAATATACGTATGGCTTAACTCAGAGATTGAGTGCATCTTCTTTTACCTGATTTGGGGATGAGCAACGAGAGAGAAAGCAAGAGGGTAGCTGCAGTGATAGCAAAACTTAGATCTAGCTTGTAGTTTCTTGAGAAGGCCATCAGTTTTTATCAGAATCCCCCAAGTCTCTATCTATGAATGTAAACATAGGGTAAAGAAACTGTGACACGAGAATGAAAGAATAGGTAGAGGGATAGATCTTGGGGTTGTTTGGAGACAAGCTTAAGAAGTGTATCCAGAAGAAGGGACAAGACAGTAACAGTGTAGTGTGTACTGATATTATGGGCTTCTTCACCAGTTAAGTTGCACAGAAAATTATGTTTTCTTTCTCGTTTTGGGAAATGTAGTGTTCATCGCCTTTGCCTTTGCAGATTTCTTGAGAAACTTCCACTTCTTGACTACTGTCTACGTCTAGATATACCTGAAATAATGTGTACCATATCATACCCCCTCGTTATATGGAATGCTAGTTTATGTATGGACTTTTCGTATCGGAAAAAGAATTTCAGTTCTTAGATAATCACTTCTCTTCCACGCTCATTTTTAATCACAAATTTAGCCAAATATGCTCTTGTAAGGTATTTTAGATGCAAGATCATGACAACGAATTGTTGATAAGATATTAACAACTTGATCGCACTAACGATTCTGCTAGCTTATGGAAAAGTGATTAAGTTTAATTATAATTAAAGTTTTTCAGATTAGCCAAACGTGCTTGAAAGATAACAGAGGATGTCCCACTGTATCATGCTTCACCAGTAACACTAGCTAAAGCAAATTTACTCACTTTATAAACTGAAAAAGGTGATTCGAAAGCTCAAGATGGTAGCATGAGGAGAATCCAAGGGCACTTATTAAACCTCCTTTTCATCTTTATTTGCTTATAGTACAAACTATTAGGAAGAATTTTGCTGGAGTCACTTTGTTGAAGCTACAAATATGTGAGAATATGGTATACACCAATTTAAATTTTGCTTGCGCGTTGAGGTAAATCGACATCCATCAATTCTAACTATATATTAAAACTTGTATTTGATACAACAGAACAATCTACTAATCGAATTTCAAGAAGCACTCTTGATCATAACCACATAAACAACTGAAGAGATTTAAGGAAATAATTACATCGAAACGAGACACAACATACTAATGAAAAAATAGAAATTTATAGCCGAGCATGACAAGCAACTGTTTCTCAAACTGGAAGGGAGAGGCTTCTATTCCATATCTAATCTCTAGTCAAATCTTGTTTATTCGTCTTTTTCACACCCAACTCACTTTTAACTTTTATCAGCCAATGACTCGATCGTTAGCCTACCAATGATCGTTGACCCCATTTTTCCTTGGCTCGGGGATCTTGATGCTAACGGTTTGTATCTTAGTGTGCAAATAACATATAGGTCAGCAGAGATGTGATAAGAGATTTATTGACAGTAGGATCTTATCGATTTTTGAGTTCAAATTTCAAATCTATGTACAATGGACATTTGAATGGATATCTTCGACGATCAATTCGAAAATCTCAAAAATGAGAAGTCCCAACAAGTCAGAAACAAATGGTTCAGATGCCACATGACATAGATATCATATGCCAAATAGCAGTACATACGAATAATTCAATCCAACATATAGTCAATGAGTCTGCATAAAATGAAGTTACAATCACAGTCCACCAGATGAGGCCTTTCATCTTTCTTTTCAATAACTGTAGAAACGAGCTATTGAACGTCCTTTAGGCTTTATCAGTTACCTTTCTTTTCGGTGCAGTTACCATAGCAGAAGAAACTGGGGTCCTTCACGAAGAAAGGTAACACGACTATGTTGTTAATTTGTACAAATTGTGCTGCATTTGAAGAGGCCGGACCCACCAGTTTCTTGTGTTTTGTATTTTTGTTGTTCTCAAAAGAATCCACGTGTACTGTTCTTCGTACCTCAGTAACTGTAGGGCTCGACTCCTTTCTACTTTTTTGTATTTTAACTTGAGGTGAATTTGTAGCCATTTGATTTTTTTGTTATTTGTTTGAAAAGGAACACAATCTTACATTACAAAGGGTCAAAAGTTAAACATCAGACTTTAATCCAGCAAATAAACACACAACACAACACTCGACAAGCAAAAGAAAAGAAGGATCGCACACACATACAAACCAATTAATGCACATTCGAACTCAAGTCATCAATTCACTTGAATCTCCTTCACGTCCTTCTTTGGCCTCTCAGTAGTTTTTGGAATAGTAATATTAAGCACGCCATGTTTCATTTCTGCAGTTATCCCGTCAACCTTCGCATACTCAGGCAGAATCACACTGCTATCAAAGTAACCATAATTTCTTGATGACCAAGACTCATCATCAGATTCAGATCCATGCTCCTCCTCTTCCTTGTGCTCTCCTTTGATTGTCAACATCCCATCCTCAACTGTAATCTTCAAATCTTCTTTGCTTAGTCCCGGCACCTCAACCCTCACTTTGTAGCATTCGTCTTGCTCTTTAATCCTCATCACCGGTGGCAGATTTTCCAATACCCTATTGATATTCTCTGTTGCTTGTATAATTGCATTTCCGAGTCCTGAGGGAAAGAATTCTACAAAAAAAAAGTATGCTAATTAGTTTTAATGTTTTATAATCCATATATAGGTTTCAGAGGAAGGGAGATAGGTTTGAACTACCCCAAAGAGCAGGAACAAAGTCACGGTTGTTTCTCCAAAGAGCCCTTCTGGTTCTTCTTCTTGGAGATAGCTTGGGTTTTTTGCCACCTTCAGCCACAGAGACTTCCCGGGGTTGGGACTTTTCTTCGGACGCGGTCGACAACGCCCTCAAAAATTTAGAACTCCAACTCTGTTTATGGGAAAGACAGAAAGTAGCATGTTGAGATGAAAAAGAATAGAGTGGAGAAACCACCCGCTTTTGCAAATCTTTCAAAGCCAAACGAGCTAAAGCCATTAATCGTTCTCGTAAATTGATTTCTTGGAAGAGACACAGAGAGATCGCAATAAGTATTTGTATAGTGAGCAGAAAGCTCTACGATGTTCTAGGTTTGGAGGACACGTCAAGAAAAGTTTCTTGATTAATCTACAGGCAAAAAGAAATGAAAGGGAAAATAGATGAAGTTTCATGCATATTCTTGATTAGTGATAGGATTCTCTTGAATGTGAAAGAGCTTTCCAGAGGATTATCCATCACGTAATATTGGACCATTTAAAACTACCTTTAGCAATAGTAAAGTAGTAAAATAGAAAATTACTTTATTTAAAACAATGTTATATATACTTCATCTTGACATAGAAAATCTGTGCAAAATATTTAGAACAATTATTCTTACAAATAAGAACCATTCAATTATACAATAACTTGTCTCGGCGTGTTTCAGTAAAAGAGGAATATAACAATAATTCTACATGTACTTGACAAAACACACCCTTTTTCATGTTTATCACCTATTTATATGAGATTCTAGTCCAATGCGGTCTAGTTCAGCATACCAAATGGACTGGTATTGTTTCTATGGCAGCGGTGAGTCCTGCTATTCAATCAACCATCAAATTCTCCGGCTTTATGGTTACTCAATCATACATTCCCTCCTGCTCCCAAATGTCAACCAGAAAATCCACCATTTCCTGCCAGTTTTAAAGTCCAGATAATGAGATAGACGGAGAATTACTCGTATAAAGCAAAATGTTATTTGGGAACAGACTTACACCAAGCGGAACAGGCTTGGAGAATCGTTTGTTACTTCCAAGCAAACTATCATAGGTTGCATTCCAACTGCAAAGCCAAAACTTTTAGCAATGCAGAGACACACAGCGGACAAAAAAATACCAAGAGAGGAACTATGAACCAGTGTTCAACTTCAATTGAAAATTAAGTTAATAGAAGGTTAATTTTCAGAAAATAATCAGCGTTCATTTTATATTAGGATGCTTCCAGTTTAACTAACATGGCATGAAATAGTTGCAAAAAGATAAGCCTAGGATCAAAGACTAGTGAAAAAGAATTTATGTAACCACCAACCAACTTTTAAGTTTATCTAGAATAAGTTTATTATTGTTTCTCTCATCCTCTAAGGGACATGGTGACTAACAAAATATCAAAAATGAAATCAACTCACTGTATTCGGGGTTCAAGCAGTTGCTGTGGATGTTTCACAGGCTTTTTATTCTCTATCCATTTCTGTCTAATCCGGTACCAGAGAAAAAGACCTACAGCCAAAGCCATTCCACTTAAGATTAACCTGATCCGTAAACCGCACATTTTAATATATAATAAATTAATTGTAGAAAAAGGAACAATACCAATCACTTAAGGGATTACAGAATAAGCATATTAAGCAAGAACCAAGTGTAAGAACACCTAATGGAGTACTTAACCATCATCGGTTGGTTCTTAGATTTGTGCAAGTGGTACCTTAGACCTGAGTCATCATCATTGTCTTGTGCATAATTGCTAGACATTGAAAATGCAATCTAATAATGTTATAATGAACAATATGCACATGTAATTTTGCATTAACAGGGAGAATATTCTATGTGATCCTCGAAGATAAAACTTAGGAAACATTTAGTAAGGTCCAGAGAGACGATGGAGTTTCTAGTTTCACCATTTGAGTCGGAAGGTGTTTGGCAGTCTATTGGGAAGTACTAAGTACATCCTAGCCCCAACCCCTGCTCCCACACACTAAAAAGAGAGGAAAAGAACCCCACTGTGCAGTTTTATTTGAACTGTAATACAACAATGAAAACATTCACTATCGACTTGCCATGATTTATGAAATCAGACGGATTGCTCGAATAGCCAGCACCAGGAGCATCATGCATCTGAGTTAATTTACTAATTGGGGAGATGCTTCCTCGTGATTCCACTGTATTGTCTTCCATCTCATAAGTGCTGGTGGTCAAGAAATCCTCAGATGTGCCAGCTGCTTTTGAAGAGTGGGGATTCTTCCCTTTCAATGGCTTTTCAAGTGAGGAAGTGAGTTTGTGGTTAGTTTGACATCCAAGACAAACCACCGCTCTGTTCCAAATAAATACGAGGCACAAGAAATAAACTTAACCCATCTCATTCGACATACTACACAAGTTAAATTCTCTAATGCACATAAACCACAGAAAAGAAAAAACTAATTCCTGCCTTTGAAAATCATGAATTCAAGCAATCTGAGTTGTGTTTGGCTGTTTTTTTAGTTGGGTCGCTACAAAATTCGCCAATCTCCATAATGAGCTCAAAGTATGTATTCCACAGTCTAGAAAGCCTATGTTTGGCTAACCAATATCCTAAGTTGAACTAATAAGTATGATAAAAAAATTAATCAAGAATACAAGATAAATCCAAGACTAAATTTTCTTTATTATGTCTAAAATAAGTCTCATATGCAAAATCCATCATTTCATTTCTCCAGGCTAAAAGAAACACAGATCCGGCTAGCTAAACTTTAAAATTTTTTCCAACAAAAAAAATTAGGATAAAGGTCCTGAAACTCCTCTTTTAGGCTAACAAGTAGAAAACGAGCCTTGGAATTGCACAAATCAAAGAGCTAATAGAGAGAGAGGTATGCTCCATTTGCCATCAATCTTACTATCTCAAGACAACCCCATTCTCTATTAAATACAGAGAAATTAACCAAATCCCATTCAAAAAATAATTCACAGTTCTTCATTTATTCCAGACGAAACAAAAGAAAGCTTTAAAAGTTACAAACTTATCAATATTATTTTCCGAAATTCAGATAATAAACCAAGAGGATAAAACTGGCAAAAATATAAAGGATCCACGTATGTCTTGAAAGAATCAAAAATCCATACATACCCCAGGCATGCAGTGATATATCTGCAATCAATTCGAAGCCCAAAACGTTCCCACCATAAACAGCGATTCCAAGAAGGTACAAGTTTTCCACAATGCCCTGAAATTCGACATATCTGATATCATCATCCCATATGTAAATTATATATTGATTATAGATAGATACTTACCTGAGAGAGAGAGAGGAAAGAATTTGCAATTCTTTCTCCCTCTTTGGTTTTCCCTTCCGGCAATCGATTCACGATGAGATAACACACCATTTTTCTTCCCTTCGCCTTTATATATGAGGAGGAAAGCAGTTTGCTAAGCTAAAAACAAGGACATAATTTTGAAACTGGAAATTTTAGTTTAATTACAATTTGCCACATCAGGTTTTATAGATAGAAAAAGTAACATTTATTTGCTACAATGAATTTTAGTAACTTTTTTTATGAATAATATTGATGAAACAATTAAAAACACAAACAGAAACCATATATTCAAGAGTCAAATTTAAAACTTGTGGTGTTTACAATGAAGTATAAACAGTAGGTAACCAAAGAATTCTTCCCCAAATTCTAATTCTTTTTTCTTTACAAATTCGAAGGCAAACAAATTACAGCCCAGTACTCGATGAATTGATTATCAAATCAATCAATAAGAACACCCAATCCTCTGCACGCGATCCTTGAGAATCCCATTGTACAAAGCCACCCGATTTGCAGGCATGAGTCCATTGTATCCAAGAATTTCATTTCCACAGCAAGTGGCCTCAGCTTTACTGGACTTTTTGCGTAATTTTCTGTACAATTCACCGTTCCCTCTTGAATCTTTCACATCATCTGCAAATTTAACTCTCTTCTCCTTCTTCTTATTCTTTTTCTCCATCTTCTGGCTACCTACAGCATAAACAATTGGTGGGTTATGGAGCCGACTAAAGAAGATTAGATAAAGAAAAATGAGGTTTCTAAGTAAGTACTTGAAGTTAAACAAGATTTGAGAAGTTGTTTTGCAGGAGGGGATTCTTGAAATTGGGTGGGAGCAAAATACTTCTCCCGCAGCAAATCAAAAAGAATTACAGTGCCTGCAGAGACGGCCATGGACGTGGCCAAGACAAGACCCTTTGAGCTCAACACGGAAGACATAATAACGGGCTGAATACAGAGAATTGATCCAGCTCAAAGTGAAACAAGTTGCATCAAACTAGTTGAAAATGTAATATCTATTTATACACAGAAATTTAACGGGGGTAGTCTAACAGTTGATGTGTCGAACAGGGCAGTGCACCGCACGGCAAATGAAAGAGGAAGCACCAGAAAAAAGATTAGCGGTGGAGGGGAAACGAAGGGTCAAACTTTGGTTCCACCCCACTAGGCCCCTGTGTGTAACATCAAGATGAACGACCAATACTGTGTGACTGGGGTCCTCATAAAGAATCCGATAAGACAACCTCTTTCTCCGTTAGGAATATTTGGCTTAACTCCACCTAATAAAACCGGCTTATTAGGAAAGGATTACCCTCACCTTATAAAGTGGATCATTTATATTTTCCCAATCAATGTGGGATTCTAATACGCTCCCTCACGCACAGCGTGGACCATGCCAAACAACTGTGAACAAATCGATATTGGGTGGCACCCATCATTGCATAATTGGACCTAGCTCTGATACCATGTTAGGAATATTGGGCATAACTCCACCTAATAAAACCGGCTTATTAGGGGAGGATTACCCTCACCTTATAAAGTGGATCATTTATATTTTTTCAATCAATGTGGGATTCTAATAGTCTCTGTTCATGTGATTTTCGAGGTTCTGTCTGATAGATATTATTGGCCATTCACATGTGTTCAACTATCAGAATTCTGACCCCAATTTTGTTGGGTTTAAATGTTGATACATACATGATGATTGATGACCTCAGTATTGAAAGCTAAGTGAGTGGTTGCTATTTGTTTTTCAGACTTCCATTATCTCCACTTGTTGCCGTCGACTTATCTAAACAAAAAATTTGTTATATCTATAATATATTAAGGCCAATTATATTACGTTTTTAATATTTTCACCAATATGTAAATTGCAATGGAGGTCTTCAATTTTTGATCATTTATACACTTATATCACCAACTTTATTCATCGTATACTAATCATTAACCGTCAAACAAAATTAGAAGGGCAATGCTACATGTACATAATTGTTTTATAGGGTGTGGGGACCACATTTTTTGGAGTTTTTTATTCACGCGAGCCCCGCACACATGTGAGAGGGTGTAACATTTTCGATAAGGAAAATTATGTACAAATAGTTTTTTCCAAATTAGAATATCCTGTCTTAGTTCACGATTTTTGTCTAAATTTTTTTTTTTGCTAACATGTATTGAGATTGAGTACAAATATGTTGTCAAACTTTTATCTTGTTATTTATTTTAATTATTTTAAAATATGAAAAAAAAAAAAAAAAAAAAAAGAGCCTCTTCACAAATTTTATGAACAAAAACCTTCAATACATACAAGATGTGAAAATTAAGAGAACGTTAAAGGAAAAGACTGTAACTGAAAAAAGTTAGAGATATAAGTGTGAAAATGAGCAATGATTGAGGACGTTCAACGCAATTAAAATGTAGTGTACTTAACAAACATTGTAGTGTGAATACGATTGCTCATGTATTAAATATTATATGAAGTGAGAATAATTTTTTAGACAATTCAATTATTTTAATAATACTTTACTTCTCATTTTTCAATATGTATTTAATTTATTTATCCACTTATTTACCGTCAATGTTTGATAGATTTATTTCACTCGTGTGCCTTCATTAATATATGAATTCCCTGTTATTAACTCCCAATTGATTAATATTCATATTCATTTAATTAATATTCATTTTCATTTATGTATTTCAGTGTTATTAATTCTAATTATAAATTTCACATTTAAGAGTGCATTTCATTATTCACGTCAATGTATTTTAATTAACATCCAATTTTACTTAATTGAAAATACATTATTTCATAATTCATTTACAACCACACATTATTCAATAAAATAATTTTTTTCATCATATCAATAATTTTTTTTTACTTTTTATCAATATATTTCTCATCATATCACTATTTAAAATATATTATTTTATTAATAAAATCTATCAAACACACCCTGAAATAATATTTGGAGTCGTTCATCACCCGGTGGGAGTTACAGCGGTAAGAACTCATGACACTAACGAATCATTACACAGTTTCCTTCACGATATATATGGATAGTGACAACCGCCAAGGAACTTTTTGTGATCAAGATTGTAAAATAACCACCGAAAAAGTTGTGTCGCCCTCCAATTCAAACTTTCTCAAGCCATAATAAATTACATGTATCGTACTCGCAAGTTGAGCCAAAAGCACAACTGCACCAAGAGTATCGCCAAAAAGATCTCTAATTTTAAATAACATACTCTATAATTTAAAAAGTATCTATAAATTTAGAGAGTAAATTTTTTTAAGTATTCCAACGTATTTTGTATATTTAACACTTAATTTTACTACTCTCAAAACCATTTATTTTTATTTTTTATATTTTATTTTCACTAGCTTCCTTCATTGAAAATTGAAATACATTGAATGCATTTAATTATACAGAATGAGTTTGGCTCTCTAAGAGCATCTCAAAGAGACTCTCTATTTTTAAAGAGCATATTCTATCATTTTGAGAGCATCTATAAATTTAAAGAGTTAAAATCTTGATCTACTCCAACAAGCTCTTTATATTTAACACTTAAGTTTACTATTCCCAAAAAATATTTATTATTTTTCTTTATCTTTTATTTTAACTAGTTTTTCTATAGATTATTTTATTGTTTTTCTACATTGAAAATTGAAACTTTTTGAATGCATTTAATTATAGAGAGTGGGTTTGGCTCTCCAAATTTGAAGAGTCAAACCCACTCTCTAAATTAAAATCTTAATTTAAAGAGTCTATTGGAGCATGATTTTACATGTTGACTCTTTAAAATAGAGAGCATCTCATATTTAGAGAGTCTGTTGGAGATGCTCTAAGTCAAACCCACTATTTAACTTAAAATGTTAATTTAAAGAATCTTTTAGAGTATAATTTTAAAAATTGATTTTTTAAAGAGTAATGCTACTTGCAGTCGCTCACTGCAGCAGTCGTCATATGTGTCACACATGACATGTAGTTATTTGATGCATTAATGTGGTAATTTTTGACCACATTTAATGCATCAAATAAACACTTGACATGTGTGTGTTATATAGGGCGACTGCTGTAATGAGCGACTGCAAGTAGCATTATTCTTTTTTAAAATAGAGAATGTCTTATATTTAAAGAGTCTATTACAGATGTTTTAAGAGAAATATATGAAAAACCTTCCATGTAAGTAACACACCATGACCTATGAGTCTCGTACTCCCAAATGCTAATACATCTGCGTTCAACTTAAGCTACCATGGGTGAGGAGGGGTTTCACGTGAACTCCGAATCTCGATCTGCCTTAGGTGGTCGATCAGAGAAATGAAATCCCAAGAAAAATCAACAACTCATCTACGAATGTCTCATCAACTAGAATGAATAAAGTCCACATTTATAATAGTTTGAAAATTAGTGTAAGCTCCATAGCAAAAGTAAGCTTTTAATCTTGATACATCCTTCACCTTTAAAAAATCACATTAATCTTTCATATTTCTATTTTGAGTATTGCATACACCTCATTCACTTTATGAGTCGTACTTCATTACAAGGGTATTTTAAATAGAGTAATGTTATTTAGGCCCTGTTTGGGAGGGATTAAATTTTTCTACAGTAAATCAATTCTCATTTTCAACCACACATTTTTCAATAAAATAATATTTTCTTCATTTTCAACTACACATTTCCCATCACACACTGACACACTCNAATTTTTTCTTCTTTTTCAACCACACATTTCCCATCATATCACTATTCAAAATCAATTATTCTCCAAAAAATCTCTCCCAAACAAGCTCTTAGTCTCATTGAGGTTATAACCAAAGTTCATATGACGCTAATGTGACATTAAATGAGTTGTTTAATTATCTATTTCATTTTGCCTATCACCTAACTTCACATAGATTAAGGTTTAACCCTAGTGGAATTAAATAGTATTATCTTTTAAATATATCAAACTCATTACATATGAGATATGGCTCAAAAAAAAAATGGTCATGAGTATACGTGATGCTCAAAACTGGAAATAGTGGGAGGCTAATGTGATTTTTAAAAGTGAGGGTGTCTCACATATTTTCATAAAGTTCATGGTGTCCCTAATAGTGTCGTAAAGTTCGGAGGTGTCTATGATATTGTCTCAATATGATATGATTTTATTTGTACAACCCATAAAACATAAATTATGAAAGACTACTAGACAACCCGAACCTAATTACCGAACTCTCGTCGCATTGCAGCCTGCCAAAATTCAACAACGGTCCCATCTACTCGATAGCAAGCCGAAATGTAGAGAATAATACATCCCGCGGCCCCAAAACAAAGAGGCATCTCAGAAACAAGTATTCGACGAATTCCTTAATTTTGTAACACAACCAACAACATAAAAGGCCAAATGAATCTCCAACAAGGAAAAGCCCTTCATATAGAGAGCTTGTCATACAAAACCCGACAAAGTAAAAATGAGTGAGGTGGTATAATATACGAGACTCAAATTTACTTAACACAACTAACTGGTGTCCTGCTCACAAGTTGTAAATTACTTTTAATTCATTATGGATTCGTTATTTACATGAGACAATCAAAATAATTATTGGAATTAATGTTTATAATCCTTATGATTATTTTCTCTTTTTATTTTTTTATTTATTTTTCTATCATATACAAATCTCACATTATTATAGTTTTTGAACAAGAAGTTGCTTTGTAAAAACATCAACCCAAGTCCCATGATATATTTCGCCAATTTCTTTTTCCTTGACTTTGTAAGTACAAGACAAAATTGATTATTCCTGATTTCTTGTCTCATTCTTTGCTCAATTGTGTCGGTTATTATGAGTATCTCATAAAATTATTAAGAAAAATTTCCTGCGTACATTATAAAACAAACTTTATGGCTTACCATAAAAATAAAACATAACGAAAGAAACATCTTATGCATTATTGTAT